GCGAAATCAACCCATGAATATAGAAGAAATGAAGAGGATTAGGAAGAAATCACCCAAAATCAACACAAACTCACCTACTGACCTCCTGTCGTTTATGGATTATAGTCAAGCTTCTGAATTTTGCATTAGGTTTGAATGGGTTTTTGAGTTTTAGCAAAATCGATTCCAAATTTTGGAGATTTGGGAGAGGGATGGAAATACTTAGGCCTATTGAGGAGGGAAACTCAGAATTTGGGGAGGATTAGAGTCGGGCTTTTGAATTTTGTAGTTAGGTTTGAATGGGTTTTTGAGTTTTAGCAAACCAAATTCCAAATTTTGGAGATTTGGGAGAGCGACAGAAATACTTAGGCTTACCGGGGAGGGAAACTCAGAATTTGGGGCGAGAAAATTGGGAATATGAGGAGGGAAAGGAAAATGTCTACAGACGGCTAAAATAAAAGAGAAAAAAATTGTCTTTAAGAAACAGGGAATTTTACAGACAGAATAGGCTAATCCGTCTGTATAAATAGATATATACAAACCGATAATGATTACCGTTAGAATATATATACTTTATACAGACGGATAATTGGTAAACTGTTAGTATAAACCCAATCTATACTAACGGATATATTTTTCCGTTGGTATAAACCAAATGTATACTGACTGCTTATGTTTTCCATTGGTATATATGATTTATACAGACGAATTTTAATCCGTCAGTATAGACTTCCGTTGGTAAAAGGTATTTTGCTTGTAATGTATATCTTCCAACAGGGTCATATTTCAAGATTTAGTTTAGTGTTGACTTTGGATTAAGAATTGTAGGCTCACTAAGTAAAGATTCAAGGCTAGCCTTTATTATGCATAATAATCCATTTTTACCCAAAAGATAGATTTATTTTTTTATTAAAATAGTAGGAGAATTGTTGGAACTTAAATATTCTAATAAAAATTAAAATAATATATTTTATAAATTAAATTAATTGTCTCATTTATGACTTGGTTAAATTAGCCGTTATAGGTTAATTGTCCTATTTAAGGGCATATTATTTCATAATAATTGCTCAATTTATTCCTATCATTAACCTACAAATGAGAGTTATAAGACCATGAGTTCTATAAATAAGTATAAATAAGACCATGAGTTCTATAAATAAGACATATCTCTTTGCTTAAAGGGGAGAGTTCCTCCACAATCTCCTATTTTCTTTACTTTATTTTATCTTTTAAATATTCTTGGGTAAAAAATGATGTTTTTGAGTTTGGTGACTCTATGGATAATGCAGATTCATAGAGCGTAATTATAAAACTGTAGTATTTTGAAAGCGACATACTATATATATATCTCTGTTGCATCGATTGATATACTTTTCGCAAAAACATGAATCGTCTTAAAGTAAGTAAGTTTTTAACGCCTATTTTGATGATGATTTCTTATTGATATTTTTTTGATAAGTTTACTAATTATTTTTTATTTGATTTTTATGACCAAGGCACAATAATAACATGACGTGAAGATGGAGAAAAATGTTTGAGGAATAACATTTTTTACTAGCTATTTTCTCCATAGCCTCCTCTAAGGGGGAAACTTTAGTCGATAAAGGGATAAATTACTTTTTTTTTAATTAAAGTTTTGTTTATAAATAATGTATTATATTACACTATGATTATAATTATAGTTATATATTTGTTTTTGTTTTTTATTATTTTAAAAATATATAAAGTGTCAATT